GCGGGTCCGCTCGCGCGCCGCCGTTACGGCAGCCGTTACGGGGCAGGAGGTCCCAACGGCCTCCCGCGCACCGCCTCCCGCGCGCCCCCTCCCCAGTACAAAAATGCAATTAAACCACCTAACCAGCAGATGGCAGCAAAGACCAGTAAATCAGAATTTTAAAACCAGGCAATCTTTACATTTATTATTTTTTGTCATCTAAAAGAGGCGTTGTTGGGATTTTTTGCTTCAACACAAGGGGGAGCAGCATATGGACTGGACCCTGAAATTCATTTTTAAAAGAAAAAACTCTTTTTTGTAATAAATTATTTACTGTTCTTGAAATAAATCAGTTTACTACCTGTGAAATGCAGAGAATTTCCAGACGTAAGGTCATATAAGAACAATCAGATTGAGTCAGATGTGCCACACATCTGTAATCCCAGCACCCTAGAAGGCTGAGGCAGGAGCATTACAATCTGAGCTCAGCCTGGACAAAGAGACTTCGCAAGACTCTGCCCATGTCAAAATAAAAAAAATTTAAAAAGGGCTTGGATGGAGCTCAGTGTGAACCCTGGATTCAATCTCCAGTATCAGTAAATAAACTGCAATTATCAAAATAAGATATTTGTCATGGCGAATATTTAGTTTCCCATATAATAATGATTTTATTTTTACTGGTTCAGATAATCTGACTATAAGATTTCAACACACAGGTATAAATTAAATTAAATCTGTATCTAGCCTGGTTGTATGGATCAAGAGAGACAAAGGTAATTCAGTGAACACCATTTTGAAAATGTTATAACTTTTCCCTTTATAATTTGATCATTTAAAATACGAATTATATTTTCATTGATAATCTGCTCAGTAGATAGGGTTTACTTGTGCGTTTCACAATTTCTTGTTTCACAGGGTCCCCCCTCCACGTTTTTGCAGTGCAAGGAGTTAGAACTGTCATCAGCCTATGTAGTGTCGGGATCAGTTTTTACCAAAGGTGACAGCAAAATTCTTAGGACTGCACAATTATGTTAACTATAACTGAACCACTTTTCAAATCTTTTAGAGCAATTTTAATAATATTATTCTTTTCAAGTATACTTCTGAAAGACATTAGCTACAGATTTGAAGATGAAACAAATATTTTTGCTTAGTTATGTATCTCTATTTCTGTGTCCAAAAAATAGTAATAACCATAGATTTGTCCTTCTTTTTTTTTTTTTTTTTTTTTTTTTTTTTTTTTTTTTTTTTTTTTTTTTTCCTGAGACAGGATCTTGCAATGAAGTTCAGGCTGGCCTTGAACTCACTGTGCAGCCCAGGCTGGCCTTGAACTTGAGTTGATCCACCTCCTGAGTGCTGGGACTACAGGTGTGTGCCACCACATCTGGTGATATGTGCTTCTTGAAGGCTATGCATTTTCTAGGCAATTTCAAATTGGTGTCTTATTTTACTTTATTTGTATTAGTCAAACACATCTGCAGTGTATAATGTTTACATTTCTTGTGTGGAATTGGTACGCGTACACATCTTAATTCCCTTTTCTCATCCCCTTTTCCTCTTTTCTCCTCTTCCATCTTTTAATCCCGTTCCCCTCTGAGAAAAATCTATCTCCCTACTTCCGATTGTCTCTTACTTTGCTTTTCATTTACAATTTGGGTTTGTCATACGAGACCATGCAATATTTAAGCTTGTGTGTCTGGTTTATTTCTTTTAACATTGTGGTCTCAAGGGACATCCATCCATTTTCCTTCAAGTGACTCAAATGTATGTTTATGACAGAGGAGTACTCCACTGTGTGTAAATATAACATTTTCTTTGTTCATCTGTTGATGGAGGTTGCTTCACATATTTAGCTGTTATGCGTTGTGCTGCTATAAACACGGGTATGCATGGGTCATGTGATAGGATGTCTTTAACTATTTTGGGAAAATACCTAGAAGAGGAATAGCTGGGTCAAATGCAATTTCTAGTTTGAGTTTTTTGAGGAATCTACGTACTGACTTCCATAGTGGTTGCACTAATTGACATACTCACCAACAATGTGGAAGGTTTCCTTTCCCCCTACAGCCTTGCTGGCATTTGTTATTATTTGGTTTCTTGATGAAGGCCATTCTTTCTGGGATAAGATGGAATCTTGATGTTATTTTGATTCACATTTCTCTCATGACCAGTGATGTCCATCATTTCTTCATATATTTATAGACCATGTGTTCTTCAGTGAAACGCCTGTTCCCTTTACTTGTCTATTGCTTGATTGGGTTTTTCATTTGGGGTGGTCTAATTTTTTGAGTTCTTTACATATTCTAGATCTTAGTCCTTTGTCTGAGGAAAAGCCAGCAGAAAAATTGTCCCTTTCTTCAGCCTGTCTTTTCACTCTACTGGTTCTTTCTTTTTGCTGTGCAAAAGCTTTTTATTTTGATATGCTCCCATGTATTGATTCTCTGTACTATTTCCTGAGAACTGGGTTCTGTTTAGAAAATCCTTACTTATGCCTGTGACTTCAAGAGTTTTACCTGTTTTATCTTCCAGTAGGTTGTTTCTAACATTTACTTCTTTGATCCATTTGATTTTAGCAGTACATGGTGAGAGATACGGCTCTAGATTCAATTTTGTGTATGCACATAGCCCATTTTCTCAATACCATTTTTTAAAAAAAGACTATCTTTCCTCCAGTGTATGTTTTTGCCCCCTTTATCAAAGATCAAATAGTTAAATGTTCTTGTGTCTCCTCCATTCTCTTGCACTGATGCACGTGTCTGTTTTTGTGCTAATACCATGCTGTTTTTATCATAGTATCTTTGTAATATAACTTCGAGTCTGGGATTGTGATGCCTCCTGCTTTGCTCTTGTTACCCAGGATTGCATTTGCTATTCAGGATCTCTCTTGGTTCGATATGAATTTGGGTTTGTTTTCTCCAGTTCTGTGAAGAGGGCTCTTGGTATTTTGATTGGGATTGCATTAAATCTGTAAATCCATTTTGGAAGTATGGCCATTTTGACTATATTGGTTCTGCTTATCCAGGAAAAGGTGATATCTTTCCATTTTCTGATGTCCTCTTTGATTGCCTTTTTCAGAATGGTACTGTGATTCTCATTTCTCTTCTTTAGTTAGATTAATTCTTAAGTACTTTTAGCTTTTCTTGGTGTTATTGTGAATGATGTATTTTCCTAATTTCTTTCTCAGTGGGTTCATTATTAGTGTACAGGAACACTATTGATTTTTGTGTGTTGATTTTGTATCCTGCTACATGAATGAATTTGGTTATTAATTCCAAGTCTTTTGGTGGATTTTCTGAGTCTTCTACATAGAGGATTATGTCATCTGAAAATAATGATAATTTGGCTAAGATCCTTTCAAACTCTTGAACAATTTCCCCCTACTTAAAAAAGGAGTATGTATATGTATATGTATATTTAATTAAACACCTTCCTCAATCTAAAACCATTATATATCTTGGATTAATTCATTTTAAATAGTAAATTTGCTCTACTAAATTGCTTTATAGAGGCATTAATATTCTTGTTGGATGCAAGTGCTTCTCAGAAGGAATGGTAGAAAAGCACTGCACAATAACTCCTAGAGCAAGGTTAAAGGTAGATGCACCTCACTGTGACATTTTGTATGGCACTGCCATTTGGACCATGGGAGACAAGGTTATCTGTGATAATCAGTTGGGATTTCTATGAGTTCCAGACTACTTCCTGTGTCTGTAAATTGGCTATTTCCTGCTTTAAAAAAAACCCCACAAAACTTTGGCCCTATAAGACATCCAAACTCTGATTGGCATAGTTCCCCAGGCCTATTTCAGATGAAACAGGAAACCTTTTGGCCTTAAACACCATCTAAAGGCATGCTTCATTCAAAGGGAGGAATATGGTCTATGAATTCTTTAGGAGAAATCCTTTGTCCTCATGTGAATGAGACTGAACAATTGCTTTTTACATCTACACACATTTGAACAGAAGGGTAGCACAGTGACCACTGGTAAATGATAGCCACTGTATAAATACATAGCTACATACATTTTACATGCACCACACCCCCAAAATACATTTTCTCATGAAGCCGAAATAATACTATATACAAACTATATCATATTGAGATTCTTTTCTAATTATTGCAAGTAATTAACATAAGAATTACTATCATTAACAAGCAAAAATGTCTAATATACTAAAGAAAATATTTTAGAATATTTTATGGGCAGACAAAATGTAAAAATACCATCTGTATATTATGTGTTATATAACATAATATTTTACATTGTTTTAAGATTTGACTGATTAATATAGAATTATTAGAAATATCACTAGCTTGGGTTCTCTAATACTTGGGTTCAGTATGCTTTGGAGAATGTACTTCTTTACTTCTCATCAATCTACTAACAGCTTGAGTGGCCCCTGAAATATAAGGAGGAGGGAGAAACATCCTTAAATAAGTAATCGGTGTTTACATCAAGCCTGCCAGACCTTTGTCTGGGGCAGCAGAATCCTGCTTCCTCATCGATACTGAACTGTCCCCAAAGGATAAACATAGAACTTTAACATGCCATCCTCTTCTTTGCTATAATCTGTTAAAAAGAGGATACTTACCAGTGGCAATTTATAATACATTAGCAGAAAAAAAAATGTTGACTTACACAACTTTTCTATTTCCTAAGTAAGACCATGTACCTGGGCTCGGAAAAGGCAATGCAGATGCTATGGTTTGTCCCTAAAAGGTTCACGTGCAGGAAGCTTGGTCCCCAGCGTGGCAGTGTTGAAGTGCTATAACCTCTAAGAGGTGGGGCCTGGTGGGAGATGATCAGGTTAGGGGGCTCTACCATGTTGTGATGCAGACAGAGTCCTCACCAGGTGCCCGCCATGCTGCTCGGACTCTCCAGACACCATGAGTCAAGAGCCAAATAGACCGCTTCACTTTGAAGCTTCCCAGCCTCGGGTATTTTGTCATAGCAACACAAAACAGGCTGACATTACATTATTGTTTTGAAATTCTAAATATTTGCTTAAAGGGTTAGGAGACTGTCTTAGTTACAAGCGCAGACAAGATTCAAATCAGGCTACATCATTTACAACATAGGTCTCTGACCATTTAATATCTCCAAGAAGGTGATACGCGTAGAGTGTAATGTTTTAGGAAAGGTAGCAATCATCACCTGTCAAGGCTCCAAATGGAGAAGGAGGAGTTACTTATATAATTTCTTATATTCTAAACAGTCAAAAGAACCAGCTATGATCATTTTCCTAAAGGAAAGTAAAGAGGAGATAAAAATAAACTAATATAAATTGAGGACCATGTCCTATGCAAAGCTATGAAAGAGGCAGAAATACCTTCTTTTTACAAAAAAAAAAAAAATGAGCCAAAGAGAAGATTCTAGACAGTCTACTTTTCAAATACACAAGATTTACCCCTTGGAAATCTTCAAAGTTGACACTGAGTCCTATAGAATTAAAATAAAAGATTTACTGTGTAGTATAGGATTTTTGTTGAGCATCTCATATTTTAAATAACAGCTTTCATGGCATATAGTTCATGCACCATAAAATCCACCCCTTAAAGTGTGTGATTTGTGATTTTTAATATATTCATAATTGTTGCAGCCATCATCATCTTAGTTCAGATTTCCACTATTCCTAAAATAAGCATCATACCCATTAATGGTTATCCTCATTTCCCCCTTCTTCTGGGCCCTGGTGAACACTAATCTGTTTTCTTTTTCTGTGGCTATTCCTATGATGGACATTTTGAATAAATGGTCCTTTGTGACTGCCTTCTTTCTTGTTAATGTTTTCTAGGTCCACCCGTCTGTATATTTTACTTATTACATTGTACTGATTTACCACATTGTAGTTATCCATTCATTAGTGGATGGGGATTGGGATTTTTTCCCCATTTTATCTATCACAAATTTTGCTGCAGTGAACATTCATATACAAGTTTTTGTTTCAACATGCATTTTCTTTTTTCCTCAGTGCCCATCTAGAAATGGAATTTCTGGGTCACTCTCTGTTTGTCTTTTTTACTAAACTGTCCGATATTTTCCAAAGTGGCTATATGGGAATAGGAAGTATGGAGTGGTGGTCTAATGTTTCCACTATCTTGTCAATACTTGTTATTGTCTGTCATTGAGATTATGGCTATCCTAGGGCCAGGGATTTAGCTCAGTGGTGCAGTTGCCTGCCTCAAAAGCACAAGCCCCCCCCCAAAAAAAGAGAGAGAGATTATGGCTATCCTAGTGGGTGTGAAGGGATATTTTGTTGTTGTTGCTGTTTTATTAATAAAATTAATTTTTCAGAGCATTTTTAGATTTACAGAAAAGTTGTTCAGAAATGCAGTGGCCATATCTTCTCCACTCCCAATCTTTTCAGTTTCCCCTGTCCTTGACATCTTGTATCAGTGTAGTACATTTGCAACACTTAATGATATTATGCATTCTTGTTCATTCAAGACCGCAGTTTACAGTACAGTTCATTCTTTGAGTTGCACAGTTCTGTATCTTGACAAACATAATTTTATATTGCCTCCATTACAATATCATTTAGGAATTGTTCCACTGCCCTAAAAATCCCCTGTGCTCTATCCATTAATACTTTCCCCTTGGAAGGAAACCATGATGTTTCTATATTCAGTAGTTTCACTTTTTCCAGTCGTATAGATGGAATCATACAGTATACTGTCCATTCAGATTGGCTTTTTGGTTAGAATACGCATTGAAGTTTCCTCCATTGAGTGTGTGTGTGTGTGTGTGTGTGTGTGTGTGTGTTTGTATGCTGGGGCTCTAACCCAGGGCCTTGTGTATGCTGGGCAAGTACTGTACCACTGAGCCCTTCCCCCCAGGCCTGGACATTTAAAAGGACATTTTTATCACTGAGTAATAATTCATAGTATGGATGATGGGCATAACAGACTTTTTACCCATTTCCCTGCTGAGGCTTATCTTGCTTGCTCCCAAATTTTGACACTTATAAATAAAACTGATATAAACATTCATGTGAAGATTTTTGTGTGACATAAAATTTCAACTCATTTGGATAAATACCTATGAGCAGTTGCTGAATCATATCATAGTGGTACATTACTTTTGCAAGACACTAGAAAGCTGCCTTTTAAAATGGCTATAACAGAGATGAACATGTCTGAACAATGGCAAAACTACCATCTGCACTCCCACCAGCATTGAGAGTTCCCATCGCGGTTTGCCTTCACAGTGCTAGTGGTTTGGACTTTAGCCATTCAAACAGATGTGTAGTGGTAACTCGTGTTGTTTTAATTTACAGTCCCCTAACCCCAGGATGTGGAGAATCCTTTCTGTTGCTATTTTCCATCTACGTCATCTTAGGTGAGGGTCTTCTCAGATAGATCTTTTGCTTTTGATTTCTTATTGTCGAGTTTTAGGAAGCCACTTAGATTTCCTTTTATGTTATTTTGCAGCAGTTTTGTAGTTTTGCACTTGACATTTAGACCTTATCTATGAAGCATTTTTAGTTAATTTTTGCTGAAGATGTAGACTTTTTTGGGTCTAGGGTTATCTCACCCATGGATATTCTGTTGTTCTGGTTCCATTTGTTGAAAAGATTACTGTTTTTTCACTGAGTTGCCTTTGCTCTTTTGTCAAAGATCAGTTAATTATATTCATGTGGGTCTGTTTCTGGGCCCTCTGTTCTACTGCATTGATTTATTTTCCTGTTCTGTCACTGATCTCACAAGGTCTTTGTCTCCATAGCTCTGTAGTAAATTTGTTGGGTTCAGTTCCTGTGACTGTTCTTTAGATTGACTTGGCTATTCTGGGTCTTTTGGTTTTACACATAAATTTTAGAATAAATTTATTTATAGCCACCAAATAACTTGCTGGGACTGTGTTCCAGCTATAGATCAACTTAGGAAGAACTGATACCTTGACAATATTCCTACTATGGAACATGGAATATCTCTCCATGTATTTAGATCTTCTTTGATTTCTTCAGCATCTTGTAGTTTTCCTCATCTTTTATGAGGAAATGAGATTATACACATTTCATTTATTTGTATCTAAGGTTTTCTCTTTTTTGTGCTGATATAAATGATTTTTTTCTTCAAATTTCAATTGTCCATTGCTGGGATATAGAAGAGCAGTTGACTTTTTAAAATATTGACCTTGTATTCTACAAACTTGCTATTGTTACTTACTAATTTTATGTGCTTGTTGTTGGGAGTATGTTATTTGTTTGTTTGTTTGTTTGTTTTTGGTATGAGGGATCGAACTCAGGTCCTTGAGCTTGCAAGGCAGGCAGCGGGAACCACTGAGCTAAGCCCCTGGCCCGGGAGTACATTATTTTTTATGTATTTCTTAAATCAATAAGAATGGGAAGAAAACTCCATTAAACAGCCAGCAAACTCGCACACTGATAGACTGCAAACAGGTCACAGAGCCACTAAGGAATAAGATAGAACTGACCCAAGTAACTGTTGAACGTATCTCTGACTGCATGCTCTAAGTTAAGGAACAAGGAAGCAACCTCAAAGAAATCTGGGTGTCTTTTCAGAAGATTTGTTCATTGTAGTTGAATGGGTGAAACAGTATGAAATTAGTTTGATAGCGTTAAGTAGATAAATGTACTGATGTTACTGGGAGCCAGGTGCTTGCCGGAGGATACAGATACAGAGACAGAATGGAGTGGAGCGAGAACTGCCCTGGCACTGTGTGTGTGTGTGCGTATATCACAGATGGATTTCCGGTTCTGATGGCTAAAAGGGCCTAGAGACAAGCATAGCCTGTGGGCCCAACTGGCACCCACATCTTGGACTCTAGCACCCTTCCCCACTAAACAGAGTATGGGCTCCTTGCAGAGTGACTGATTTCAAGGTTGTGAAAAACACAAGAAAGAAAGAGAAACGAGAGAGAAATAGAGAGAGAGAGAGAGAGAGACACAGAGCCCAGACTATCTCATTATGCTGCAAACTGAGAAAGTACTAAATAACTAAATAAGTGCATGTCAAAAAGACAAGTAAGCCAGTGTGAAGGGGCTGTCACTGATCAAATCTGGATCAATTTGAGCATCAAAATAGTTAATAACAATAATAATAAATTATAATCCATTGAAAACTAGGAATCCTTTTGTCGTAAAAGGCTGAGGAGATATACCGGATGGAAGGAGACTAAAGAAACATGGTAAGGAGTGCAGTGTGTGATTACGAGGTAGATATGTACTGAAGGAAAAAAATCTGCAACAGAAGACACTACTGGGTCATTTAACAACATTGAAATATAGAGCACAGGAGTGGATCGGTGTTAAGTTTCCTGAAGTCACTAACACTATTTATGGCTTTTTTTAAAAGGAATCTTCTTGTTGTTAAAAATACCCTTTAATTATTTAAGGATAATGAGTCATATGTTCACCTCACTCTCTGGTGGTTTGGAAAGACGATTCACACACAATTATACATCTGTGCCTGGGTGTGTGACTGTGTGTTTCGATAAAGTGAATAGGGCAAAAAGTCAGTCATTGATGAATCTATGTAACACATGGAGAGTTTCTTTATAGTATTCATGTGACTTTTCTGTAAGCTTGGAATTCTTCCAAATAGATGATTTATTTTTTTTAAGTGTTGGTGTTTAGCACTCCAAAAATTTCAGGGTAACAGAGCAGATTTTGTTAAGTGGAAGGTACAGTGATGTCGAATACTTTGGCGGACTGTCATAGGGAAGGAAGATTTAAAATTTGAATTTGGCTAATGTTATTTCGGGAGGGCCTGCTCTGTGTTGTCATTACAGCACACCCGAGAGCTGGGGCCGGAAGGAGAGGCTGGGGATAGGAGGAGAGGCTGGAGCTCTTCCGCTTGCTGGACTGCAGGATGTTCAGTGAGACATCCCTAGCCTCAGAAGGCTCTCCAGGAACAAAAGGGGCTGGGTGAAGGAGGATGGGGTGGCCAGGGTGGCAGGGCCCTGTATAACTGGCTTTCAAGTGATCTTCAAGTCAAAGCCACAGCATTGTGTCTGGCCTGGGAATGGTCTGCTGCAAGCCCTCAATGGTCCCCAAAATCATAAATATGTAAGATAATGAAAGGTGTCATGTGTGTTTATATCAAAACCACACCATTTTTAATGAAAAAGAAAAACACTAAGTTCCACACATTTTGTACTGCTGTACAATTTGGAGTAATATATAATTTTAAGCTGTTTACAAATAACATGTAATGCTTCAAATATTACATAAGGTTGATAATACATTTCTAGCAGAAATAAATATATTGCACTTAAAAAGAACTTCATTAGATGTTACTTCATAGTATTAGGCTTATAACTTTTTTTCCCCATAAAACATTTCCCATGCCCGGCCCCCCACCCCTGACGCACACTTCATTTTGGTGACTGTTCTCACGCAATCTGTTAAGCAAATGAAGACACAGCAAACAAACAAACTGTGACAGTCTACTAAAGAGGCTACATCTGATTTCATCCTTCCAGAAATAAAAGAACTTTTTTATGTTTCTGAAAATAAAAAAAACCTAAATACATTATGTGAATGTACCAGAAGTAAAATACAATACATTGTACTTTTGTCCAGATGTATTATTTCACAAAAAATTTAAATTCTCCTATTCCCAGGTACTATATTTATAAAAGGGTGGGGATTAAAATTTTTTGAGGGACAGACAGAGAAAAAGGACTGCAAAATACTTGTGGATTATGTGTCCATCAAATATTTATAAATGAATAATTTAAGCATGCTAAAGAAAGATAAGTGTTGGAATAGTTTATAGCTGGCATAGAGTAGTAAGTGAAGAGAGAGTTTTATGATTTTCTGAAGTTTTAAGAGTTTTTAGCCTTTCCTTTGCTGGCTTACAAAAACTCCTATCATTCTAAAGCAACATAAAAATTTATATAAAACCTATCTTCCTTTCAGGCACAGTTCTCTAGAGGAGTACGCTGAAAATCTCTCTAGTGCTTTGTCTAGATTTGGGGCATAGAATTGTTTTGTTTTAATGATTATCAATCCCCTGCCCACTTAACAATGAAAATAATTTCCTTATTTAGTCATTGGAGGATGGAATAAAAATAGTTTTCTTGCAATATATTATCCTGTACATCACAGAACTGATTATTTGCAGCTTTATTTACTTGAGTTACTGCTAAGCCTGTCTTTGTATTTTTCTTTTTCAGTACTGGGCATTGAGGCCTTCACAGTGAGTGAATCCCCAGTCTTTTTGGTGGGGTGGGGGGTGCCGGGAATTGAACTCAGGGCCTCACACTTGCCAGGCAGGCGCTGTGCCACTCAACTACATCCTCGCTCCTCAGCCCTTTTTATATTTTGAGAAAAAGCATCTTGAGTTGCTCAGCTGCCCAGGCTGGACTCAAACAGAGAGCAAGAACTGTAGCCCTGCACTGCCACACCCGGCTACCTCTATGATTTTAATGGGGTGATAGTCATTCCACACACTTTGAAGGTGCTTTTGCTCAAGATAATTCGGCTAAAAAGCTCATGTGTGGCATGGAAATGGGGTCAATATCCTAACAGCTCTCTCTGAGATCCGTAAGCAGGATGTGATGATGATGCTTCACATCTGAGACTATTTCTTGGATGTTTTTCTTTTTGTTTGGGGCAGGGGCTGCAGAAACAAAATGACAGAGATGGGAATTAAGGTGGAAGGAGGCGGATCTTGAAATATGGAGCTCCTACAAAGGACCTCGGCAAGATAAAGGATCATTATCAGAAGGCTTCTTAGTACCACATACTCTGTGTCCACCTATTGGAGTGATGGCTTACAGGCATTATACCTTTGCTCTAAACTCAGATAAGCCAGCAACACTAAGTCATAAGTCTAGACTGCATCGCCTAATCTTTTGTGGTATGTTAGATGCAAGTTAAGTATATTTACTTATGTGCTGCTAAGGGTTGGCAAAGGAGGAGGAGGAGATTTACTAAATAATTAAAAAGAATCATTGAACTTAGAAGTATTGATAAATGTCTAATAATAAATCACAAATGCAGAACCTAATTAGCTCTGAATTAATGCCTTAAAGTTCAGTGAAGTGGGTCTGGCAGGTCCTGCAGTCTGTGACAGTTCTGCACATCAGCAGTACTTTTTGATACTGTTATAAACGTAGAGGGAAACCCTGAGTTTATTGCAAATATATCATATGTCATGGTTGTTATTATTCAGTCGGCTTTCCCACTATCTAGTTCTAGCAGTCACTTTTGATAGAACAGACTTTGGAATTCCACACACTAACCTCCCACCTGAGAGGTTAATCAGAACCGAAAACCGCCATAGCTCAGAAGGGCCAGTGGGTGGACCTTCCAACTCCATGGCTACAGTGACTGCGGTTCAGTTCAGCTCTATTTCCCTTGTGCTTCTTCTCTCTGGCTCAGGTGATGTCTAGAATGAAAATACAGATTTAATTCAGAATTTCAGGTCTGATTTTCCCAAGAGTATAATTTGCTTTCTCCTCCAAGAAGTGTAATTATCAGTTGCTTAACAAGCATGACAAAGTGATATAATCAGGAAATCTGGTACAAAACCGTGTTTAACAAAATACCTGTAAACATGGATGGAGAGAGCTGTGAAAATAGGATTGAAATGACCCTTTCCTTCTCTTTGAACAGAAAATCCAGACAGATTCACTTTAGTAGACTCTAGGAGATGAGGAATTTATCAGGGTATTGGAAAGCATCATGTAAAGTAGTGTCTTTCGTTACTCCTGCCTTAAGCAGCAGTGCTGAACGCAAAGGCATGATGGCAACAATCCAACCTTTAACTATGAAACCCCTATCCTAGCTGGATGGGAATTTATTTTAAACCTTGCCCATAAGTGCCTTTTTAAAGAAATGCACATCTACACTTTGAAAACAAACTACTCACGGATACTGTATAACACGAAGAAGCTACCCCATGAGCCTACAGTGTTTGGCACAGGACTTTGAAATGCTTGGCTAACGCATCCACGCTTCTTTGTAAGTAAACTTGCAGTGGAGGAGAGCAAGTGCAAAATCTGAAAACAGCACCACGTGGTCAGGGTGTGCTGTGACGCCCTGTCTCACAGGCTGGACAAGCCCGGTAAAGGCGGTTGATACGGAAAAGGCTGACATTAACACAACCAAATAAAATCCCACGGAAGCCTGCTGTGATAAGTATATTGCATTTACCCCCAGATATACTCCTACTGTCAGTAGTAATATCTCCCATCTCTTTTAACAGATTCAATATTTTTGCAGTAAGAAAGGCATAGGATGGAAATGACATACAAAAATTAAATTAGTGTTTTGGGGAAATTTGCTAAGAACATAGATTGTGGTCGGTGGCTGGGAAGCATTATGTCCAAAGCTGAAAGATTATTAACTTCATTCAGTCTCTTATTAGGGAAATTAATTGTTGCAAATGACCAAATGTGTTACCCTGATTATAAATGCTAAAATACATGTTGCTAAAAAAAAAACCCACAAAAACCAAACATACAGGTTATATAGAACCATAGAGAGCTAAAATATAATTGACTACGATTACATGCATTAAAGGAAGGCTTAAGAAGATATCACGAGTTGAAAATAAAGTGGATTAAGCTTTAATTTACTTATAAGAACTGCCAACATGTCAGCCAGGGAGTCAGTGAGTTAACATGCAATTTCATATTAGGGACTTAGAAAAATGGTAGAGGAATCACTAAATGTAACACAGTAAAAAATAAAACAGAATGAAATAGCTACACAGTCCACAGCTGCTCATGAGCATACATTAAGTTGTGGCTATCCAAGCACTGAAATGGTCATTCTCAGATCCCTTGGTCAGTGGCAGCAGCAACAAAGCAGATTTATCAAAAATGAGAATTTAGGCCAGTGCACCTTTACATCCATAAAGTCTCCCAAAACTGAAGGACACCTGGAGGGGCCTTTGGCTTTCATGGCAGAGAAATTCCTTTGGAAAAAGACAGCTATCTTTCTGTTGCAGCTATGAGAGAAAGCAAACCCTGCACTTGGCATGTGGAGGCTGTGCAGTACTCTCAGTGGATGGGTCAGCAGAACGCAAACCTCAATTCTGCACTGGAACACACACAACCTTTGCTTCAGCATTGCATTTGGAAGGTTTTTCCTATCTCACTGGCAAGTAGCTGCAAGGAAGAGGGGTAGGAAGGAAAGACAAGATTGAACACCAAGCTGGTTGAGTGTTGGTCCATCAGTATTGCAAGAAGAGCTTGGTGAAGGCAACACCACATCTTCATCCACACAACAGGATGCATCAGAATGATCTCAGCTCCTTCCCCAGGGAACTAATGTAAAGGAAATGAAACATGCTTAAGCTACAGCTCTACAAATATTTCTCTATGGGCTCTCATTTCCCATAGGTAGAAATGGACTGAAGTTAGTCATACGGTCAGTATTGCCTCTCTGAAGATTCTTTTAACCTGTGGAAAACAGAAAGAAAACTATACACATCGACTGTATACATTATTGCAATAACACTGCATTTTTAGCCACTAGAATGAATGTACTTTAAGATTTGTCTGTCTTGTAGGAGTAAGCTTTCTGGGTAAATTGATATGCTATTACTTGCAAGACTTAGGTTGGGTAAGAACCTTATAGTGATTCTCTACTGAACCCAAGAGCTAGTTATCTCCCAACTACAGATGAATCCTGGTCCACAGTGCATTCCTGTAGCAGTGGATCCTATCGTGAGCCTAGCTCTCCTCTTGAAAAGTCCCATATTTCCTAGAGGGTACCTGCTTCAACACTGCACCTACTGCCCACCCAACCCTGTCCTCCACTTCCATACCCACTTGCACATTCTGGATCCAAATGCTCCACCTCTGAAAGAGTCATACAAACGGTGTCATCACGGCGGAGGAATGGCGCAGTCCTTGGATGGCAGCATAGGGCCCTTGCTGGAAATAGTGATGGTACCTCGGCATGTGGAAGGAAGGGAAGGTAGGGCCACTCCCCTGCATGGAGGTGGCAATGGCGGATGGGGTCAGTGGCATTCCCAGGCGGCTGTAGGGTGGCAGAGAACCCTGTATGGGGTGTGGAATGGGTGTCGCTATGGATGCTGTGCTGGTGCCAAGAGCGGTGAGGGATTGTGGGTGCTGAAATCCAGGAAAACTGGAAGAAGATGATACCCAGGAGCTGAGCGACAAGTTGTCAGATGTGGTAAAGGCTGACCCTGTAAGGAAGAGTGCCTGTTAGACCCGAAATGCTATTTTAGTCTACACATCAAAGACAAGACAAGCTCTCTTTATTTTGAAAAAATATTTTAACAGGTCTGCAATTGAAAAAGACAAACACACATGAGATTTGTCAGAGGGCAAATCTACCTTTCTAGATAGGAAGATGACATTTACACTCTGCATGGATGGAAGAATTTGCTAAATGGAAAAAGATTTAACTCACTTGATGCCTGTGGTCCAGACACTGACACCTTTCCTACAGGCAGTGACCTGATTCCCTTAAAAGGAACTCCAGACATCTGAAATTTCTTCTCCCCCCTGCAGCATCTCCGTAAGAAAGTCTAGCTTTTCTTTTTGTTGGTATATTTAAAGTAAAATAGGGAAAACACTTGAAGATATAAACATAGGCAAAGACTTCCTGAACAGAACTACAATAGCCCAAGAAAGAACACCCAGAATCAACAAACGGAATGACAATAAATTAAAAGGCTTCTGCACAGCAAAGGAAATAATTAACAGAGTGAAGAGACAACTTACAGAATTGAAAAGGTTCTTTGCCAGTTTTTCTTTTGGTAGAGGACTAATATCTAGAACATATAAAGAACTAAAAAAAAATTAGACCCCGCAAAATAAATGCCCCAATTGAAAAATAGGCCAATGAAATAAATAGTCATGTCTCAGAAGAAGAAGCACAGATGGCCAACAAATACATGAAAAAATGGTCAGCATCTTTAGCCACAAGAGAAGTACAAACCAAAACAAGTCTAAGATTCTATCCTACACTAGTAATGATGACTATCATCAAGGACACAGAGAAGTCTAGGCAGGGAAGTCTCAACAAAGCTACTTGCTTGCCAAAGCCATGGTGAGAATCTGTAAGACTAAATTTTCCTCCATGTCAGCAAAAAGAGTTGACACTGAACTTGGATCCTATGCTTTCACTGATGACATTATTCCATATTCTGCACATAAAACAATGACAGAAGTTCTCTTGCTATAGGAACATTGCAATTGCCAGCATGGGGTGCCTCTGGCCTCTTCCCTGGACTTCTGTGCTAGGTGCAGGGGCTGCTCCTTGAGGCCTTGTGGCAAAGAAACTGCTTGGTTTCTTGGGGTCACTGCTTCTATATGAAGCCCTTCACTAGCACAATCCTATTTTAAAAGTGTTTTCCACTTTGGTCTTTGATCTTAAAGAAGACAGTCCTAATTTGGTGAAAGAGACACATTCCCTGATTTTCAGATTATAAAGTTGAGGGCCACAAAGATTACAGAATTGCCCCCCCACCCCTGTGCAGAGCAACAGTTCTTTCGTAGTAAATTAAGACAAATAACTCCTGAGCTCTGTCTTAAAGGCTCAATGCTCTTTTACTAGAAAACCAAAACTTCAGGCAGCAAAATCACTTATAACTCAGGTCAAATAATGAAATGTGTGAAGCTCAGCTTTGGGGGCTGTCACCTGAAAAGGCCGGATGTCTTTTAGTGGCAACACGCATCCTGAGGAACAAACATATCTTCATTCTCCTTTGGGTGCCTTACCTCGATTTGAGGTTGTCTGGCTCTCTTCCCCCAGCACGTCCTCTTCTCCTCCATAGGTACGGATGGGCGAGCGGGCATAAGAATGCTTCTGGATCAAACTCTCCACACTTTCCCTAGGTGACAGAGTGACATGCGTGAGCTCACTACAAAGTCAAGTTCTCAGAGCCAGAGGGACCTTAAGGATAATTCACTATGCGGTAAATCTCTTTTTTTCAGCCAAGAGGAGACCACTTCCGGGAAAGGTAACATTCAAAATGTCCATTAATTCTGTTGCAGAGTGACTCCTCAGATAGGATCTCAGGTGCACAAATGCAAGCCAACCCAACTGGGGAGGGTGAGGGCAACCCCTGAGACCCTACAGAATGAAGGACACTGAGGTGAATAAGGCCACAGGAGTATGGGATTTAATGCTATGAAAAAAATGAGTGAATGAATTTACTAAGTAGGACAGCAGTGAATCTTCTTACTGATTTACTTCATCAGCTAATGAAGACAAAACAAAATACTCAATTGATCTGAGCTGCATCGATTTGACATTTGACAAAATGCTGGCAAAAAGTTTGAAATATCGTTCATAAAAAGACTTGATGTTAAAAAAAAAAACAGACTCATTGTTCACTACCAAACCAAACAAACATATAGAGTACAAGACTGTATTAGTTACCTTCCTTGTCTCTGGGACACAATACCCAACACCTGCAACTTAAAGGAGAGAGGTTTGTTTTGGCTCGCATTTTAGAAGTTTCAGAGCTTGCATGGGCAGCAGCATGGTAGAAGGAATGGCCTGAGCAGAGGAAAGATGCTCACGTCACAGCACCCAGGAAGCAGAGAGAGATGAAGGGAGGAAGTGGGAAGGGAGATACACCCTTCCGGGCTACGCCCCCACTGATGCACCTCTTCCAACTAGGCTGCTAGCAGATCCCACCTCCTAATATCACATTTACCTATACCAGCCCATAATCCAATCACTTTTGGGGGGACATCCAGATAGAAACCATAATCATGACAATATGGATAGTTTGGATAATGGACACTTCTGAGATCTATGTTGACTCAAGACCGAAAATTAGAGAAAAACTATGAAGGAAACATAAATGGCCATGAGGACATTTAGAACCCCAGAAAAATCAGTACATTGTCTTCATAGAAGGCCTTCCCCTTGCAGCATAGTCTATGAACCAAAGAATGTGGGTAACTTTAAAAGCAAAAATTATTTTGGCATTGGACAATTTGAACTGCTGCCATTTTTTTAAAGGCCAGCAATATATTAGCCAAATATATTATTGTATCTGAGTAACAGATTATTTTATTTTTTATTAGCACATTTTTGTGGTACATAGAAATAGCTGTGACCTATAGATCACTGAATTAGCTATGATAAGATAATATGAGGAGAAAATATTTTTTTAGTCTTGAATAAGGAAGGACAAACCAAACACTGAATGTCGGGGGCCGGGGGTTTGGCTCAGTGGTTCTGCCCCCTGCCTCGCAAGAGCAAGGACCCAAGTTCGATCCCTGGTACCAAACAACAACAACAATAACAACAACAAAACAAAATAAAAAAACAAATACTGAATTTCATAATGAAAGAATAAGGAAAACAAATAAAATATTACAATGATTTTCCAGAATGTAATGCTTAACATTTCACATAGATACACACCTGTGGTAAAACACAGAAAACAGTCTTTCCCATTGGGTATAACATTGACTTTCTCTGTTTTATAGGGCCTTTTATCAGACTGCAAAGTTTCCCTTCTATTTCTAGCTTGCTAGGAGTTTTAAATCAGAAGTGGATGTTGGATTTTCAAAAATGCTTTTTCTGTGTCCACTAAGATGATCAAATGAATTTTTAAAAGAAATTATACTGATTGAACTTCAAATGGTAAACTAACCTTGCATGCCTGAGCTAAACTGTACTTAGCCATGATATGTTACCCCTTTTTGTTTTTTAACTCAATTTCCTAGAATTCTGCTAGAATTTTTCCATGTGTACTCATAAAGGGCATTAGACTATAATTTCCCATATGTTTCTTGAGTTTCAATATTAAGGCAATGTTTGTCTATTCACAGAATTGGTTTAAAAGTGTTCTCTTCCATTTTCTAGTCAAGTGTGGGCGGGTGAGTTACTTCTTTCTTAAGTGTTTGGTACAACTCACCAGTGAGGCTTTCTGGGCCTGGGGTTTCCTTTTTAGACAGCTTTTCAACTACAGATTAATAGCTATTTGATTATTCATTTCTTCTTGAATGATATTTGGTACTCTGTGTCTTCAAGAAACTTATGCATTTCACTTAAATTGTTGAAATTATAAGTAAGTATGTGTTCATATTACAGAATAATATCCTTTTATCTTTCCTTTTAATTGATATAGAATCTAGTGATATAACCCTTTTCATTCCTGATAATGGCAATTTGCACTTCTCTTTTTTTCTTGATCAGTTTGGCTAGATGATTGTCAGTCTTATTAATCTTTTCCACATTTGAAGCCATTATTTTTTCTCTGTTGTTTTCCTATTCCATTGCTCTCTCCTCTAATATTTATTACTTCCTTTTTTCCACTTTGGATCTCAACTGCTCTTTTTCCCTCTAGTTTCTAGAGATGGAGAACGAGATCATGACTTGAAATATTGCTTGATTTCTAAAAGAGGGCCATAACAACTGTAAATTTCTCCTAAATAATGTTTTAGCAGTGTCTCACAAGTCTATATATTATTATTTTCATCTTCCACCAACTGCTGTGTAAATCATAGTTTTCCAGTCCAACTGGCTGGAACAGACACTATTCCCATTCCCTGTGTGATCACTGGACAGGTCCTATCTCCTGTTGTCCTTCCCAGTACATTTCTCCTTTGGCCTCAGCTGGTTTTCTCACACTGATGTGCAGATAAAGCCTCAGCAGAACTCCCAGGAGCAGCCCCTTGTGATCTTTGGAGCTTTTATTCCTGAGAGCTCTCTCCTCTTGTAGCCTGTGGGGTACTGTTTGTCCCCAGCTCTGAGTGCTGAGCTCTGCTCAATCCCCTTCCCTGTGTCCTGGGCCTACATATCCCTCAGGCGGTGAGCTAGGGCTTCTATCCCTCAGAAATGTCTGTCCTTTCTTGATGTCCAGCACTGTAAAAAAGTAGTTTGCATATTTTGTCTGTTTCACCATTGTTTGGGACAAGAGAGTACATTTGGTCCTTGTTGCACTACCTTTGCTCAAAGTAATGGCCCTCCTGGGGACTTCCTAAAAACTCCAAAATTCAGCTACACACCTAAATCCATTAAATTACAATCTCTAGAGGTTAGACACAGGTTTCAGTCATTGTTAAGACTCCCTAGGTGACTCCAATGGGCAGGCACCTTTAAGAATGGAGGATAGATGTGTGATGGCTGCTTTTCACCATATAATCCTTGGTACCTTTTGAATTTGGGATATATGCATTTGTTTAGTCAAAATTAATTACAAATTATAAAAATATTATGAGCCTCTGGTAATCTACTTTGAACAAAAGAAAAAGAACTGTTGCCTAACACTGGTGCTTCAGGAACCTTTTACAATGTACTGATAAAAATAATAATTATTCCATTTTTTTAGGTGGATGTGGTGTATACATTGGAGGGAGTGTGGTATATGGGTAATATTGTGAGCTTAAATGCATTCATTGAATGGATGAAAGGATAGATGAGAAGGGGCACCAACCACCACCATCTTCACATTTTTCTTTGTTACTTCCTTGACTTGTCCTCGTCTGTCAAGTGGGGTACATAGTATCAGCCTTGCGAGATCGTTTATTCATTTAAATAACATAATTTATACATTTAATGTAATAGACAAATATACAATGTATATAAATATAGACTATAGTATATCTTAATATATAAATTGCTCATATGTAGAGAGAGAGAGAAAGAGAGAGTTGCTACTATGAATATATATTATTCTAGAAATAGTGGAGATAGCAGTAAGCAAACATACAAAAAATCCTTGCCCAGTGAGGGAGGGAGGTAGGGAAGGTGAGTACACAGAGAAACATGCAGTAAATTATATGATGATGATGCTAGTGCTGTGGGAAAAAAATAAAAATAAAGCCATGAATAATGACAAAAAGTGCATTCAATAATGCATTGAGTTGTTTACAGTAGTATCTGGCACTCAGCAAATGTTAGGGCCTTCTAAATGTATGTCTCAAGCAGGTAAAAATATTCTGTTCTCTTATGTGTTCTCCAGCTGATTCTACTTACCTGAATAATCCTATTTTATAATAATATGGTCACAACAAGAGAATTTTTCTCAGAGGTTGACTATTAAAGCCAGCCAAGAAATTGATTAGGATGTAATTTGCAGTTCTGTTGTAGAATTCTACCTATTCTCTTAACATTTTCCTGAGAAAACGGTAAGCCTTAATAAATGTATATCACTTATTTTAAAAATGTAAGGTAGTTTTTAAAATCCCTTGAACTGTCAAAAACATTTCATCATTCACTGAGAGGTAGTGGTGGACATTTCAAGTGGACGCACCCACCCTCTGATTCATCTCTCCCACTTCAGGTATACACCCAAAGGAAATCAGTATCCCAAAGAGATCCCTCATGCTCACGTTTATTGTGCCTCTGGTCCCAACAGATAAGATACAGAACCAACCTAGGTGTTCCTCAGTGGATGAGCAGATTAAGAAGCTATGGTACAGTAAGTATTAATATATATTTTAAAGCTCTTAGAAATCTGCTGATGAAAGAGCAATGTAAATGTAAAAGTGTGGTTTTTCAAGCCATTTGCAAGGAAATGTGAATTGAAACACACATTTGGAGTGTTTACTTTCTGCCTTCACTTTTAAAGCTACCTGGACTCAGAGGAAAAAATAAGTGTGGGTATAGACTTGGTTTTCCAACATATGAATAGTAATTCTATTGATAAACTAAATGGCTGAAGGAAAACATAGGACAGGGCCTGGGATTTAGCTCAGCGGTTCAGTGGCCTGCCTTGCAAGCGCAAGGACCCGAGTTTGATCCCCGGTACCAAAAAAAACCCAACAAGAAACAACAACAAAAAAACATAGGACACTCTTCAATAAAAGAGCTGCTACTATTCTTCCAACTCGATAATAGTAAAAAAGTAAATATTAAAGCTGATCA